CCMACTACGCAGCCAATCACTTCGCGGAAGAAGACAGGGTAAGGATCAAGCTGGGCGTAGGGGAAGACGAAGAGTCCTGCATGGGGAAAATGCGCGCAGCAAGAAGGGAAGATGGCGCGAGGATGCAAGGCAAGAAACGGGGATGCGAGACGCGCGAAGAAATCGGAGCTTGGGCGCGCGCAGAAATTCAAAAAGTCCCAACCGCACCCGTTTCTTGATTTTCATACCGCGGCCGCTATTCGCCCGCGGGAGTTATTAACCAAACAAAATGAAAAAGGCCGTTTCAAAAAGAAAACAAAATCAAAAAGAAAGAAAAGCCCCTTTCTATCTGCGTCCGTACTTCGGGGCTTCCGCGGGGTTTTCCCTCAAGGATACGGCAAGCCGCGCGGTACGGATCTGAGCTGATCACATCTGTGATACGCAGGGGGTTTCGAAAAATTAGCAGTCTCCTGACTGCTAACGTCATCATATCTTGGATGATCGGGCGGTCTCTTCATCGTCAGCTGGCCCGATCATCCTCCTGATCTACGTGGATGCATCCCACATCCTCCATCGCCTCCTCTCATAGTATACATTCGATCGGGCGGCCTCTTCATCGTCAACTGACCTGATCGTAAAGTTTTTTTTTTTTTTTTTTTTTTGAGATATACACAACGCGTATTGTCGCGTGATCTTTACATCCAGAAGAGAAGAAGAAGAGAAGGAGAAGGAGAGGACGGGGGAGAGGTAGACGAAGGTGATCAGATGAAGTGATCTATGTCGAGATTGAGAGGGGGCGGAATAGGTGGAAGAAAGGCGGCCACTGCCACAGGAGTCGTCGGCGCATCTTCCTCACGGAGATGATGCTGGACGAAGGAGGGGTAAAGAAAAGCCCCCGGCACATGAGAGAGGACACGTGGCGCCAGATCCGCCACCGCTCGCACCACCTGCTTGCGCACCGATCGGGGCCCTTACCCGTCATTACCACATGCGTTAGGCCGCCGCTCTCACTTCTGCGCCACGAAGACCAGGAAGTGGTACACCGCATTGGGACGCTGCCCTGTCTCGTAGGTGAGCGTCCCAGCCAATCGCGCCGCAATACACCCTTGAAAAGGGGGCGTCAGGTATGGTTCCCACGCCGGATCAGGGCGCGGCGCCCCCGCGATAGCCTCGAGCCTAATGGTGGCGGGCTCCACCATGAAGTCCACCTCGGTCGGATGGACCGTTCGGCTCGGATGAACTACTAAGGTCAATGACGAGGGCACCCCGGGGTGGCTGGCAAGAACGGAGAGGTCCCGCCAGGACGGGGGGTCTGGATATGGGATCCGGAAATCCCATTCGGCTTCCCCCTCCGGCTGCTGCTGTTGATGATGGCCCGGCTCCATCAAGATTGAGGTCGGGCACATGCGGAATGGGCGGCGATGGCACGATAGTCTCCTTAACGAGCGTCGCCGCGCGCGGGCTGAATCACTTCCTCGCCGCCGCCGATCCTGCTGCCTTGCGCTCCTGGCGACGGGTGGCGTCTCTTCCTCTTCGGCGTCTTCTTGGGGGCCTTCGGTGGCGCTGGCTGAGAGTACGATGAGGGAGGACGCAACGGCCTTTCCTCCTGGAAGTCGTCCAATCTCTCCGCGCGCTGCGCAATGTGATTCGGGATGACGACCGCGTTGTACGTTCTCCGCGGGGCCATCGCCGTCCGCAATCGCGGTTGGATCTCCTCCTCCTCGCTCGCGATCACTTGCGCGATGGAGAGGAGCTCAAGATGTATGAGCTCCAAAAATCCCGGATCGATCGTATGGAGCTGGGCGAATGGGTACAGCGCGACCGTCCCTTCCTTCTCCGCTGGCTTGGGTCGCGTGATGACGTAGTAAATGACGAAGTGCTCACAGGTAGCGTGGTCTTCGTGATCCACGAAGAACCGGAACATCCCCAGCGCCACCGACTTGTACAGCGCACGGTGCAACTCCCACGCGTCCTTGTCGGCGAATGGCAGCGGCTCCACGTCAGTTAGCTCCACCAGGTAATCCGAGAACTCGCGCATGGGGTAAGGGCCCGCCGTGAGGTGGTAGGGGAGGGTGGTGTAGGAGAAGAAAGGAGGCATTTAGTACGGGACAGGGGGAATAGCTTGGAGGTTGAGGGGGGCAGCGGGAGGGAGAAGCGCGGGGAGCTGCGGCACCAGCGCGATCGGTCCGTCCTCTGCCCTACGCAGCAGCACTTCGTGGGCTGTGAGTCGGTGCCCGCTCCGTCCTTGCACTCTGGCCACTGATCTGGCCGCTTCTACCACGTACTCGCGCACAAAGCTGCGCGTCGGCTCCCGATTCTCCTGCGGGAGGATCGTCAAGTCTTCAATGAAGGTGGTGACGTTATGCACGAAATTGGGTGCCACCTGGAGAGCACGGAACTCAATGAATACCCGGGTCGTCTCCCGACCAGGCAACTGCGTCACGTCCACGTACACCCCTGCATATGTCAGCCGATCGCAAAGCAACGAGTATGCCGCCGGATCAGCAACCCCGGGCGCTGGCACGTTCACTTGTTGGATGTCGTACCGAAACTGCCTCTCCTTGTTAAACCGATGCCGCAACAAGCGATCTGCAAGCGGCGTCTGGAAGTGCTCGAGGGGCTCATGCTCCGGCTGGCGATGGTTCATCCTGCTCCCCGGAACTATAGCGCCAATGGACGAGGCAGATCGAGAAGAGGAGGAGGATGAAGAAGGAGAAGGTGATCGCGTAGGAGCAGGGGTCCGTAGGGGACCTAGCGATGGCTGGAAGGGCCGGAGCGCGGCAGCGTGCCGTGTCAGCGGACGGGCTTGGGAGTTGTGACGGGGAATCAGCTTCACGGAGTGCTGTCCCTGTGTGTCAACTTCCGTGACCTCGTAAATGCCTATGTAGCGCGGGTGGATCTTGGAGGAGCGCGCAGATTTCCGTACCTGTACCAAGTCCCCAACTTTATAGCGGGGCAGTGGTCCCACCGACGCGTGTCGGTTCTCGTAGTCCCGGATCTGCCGTTGATGCGTCCGATCTACAGCCTGCTGTCGACGGCGAGCTAACGGGGGATAGGCCCTAGCCATTAAGTCCAGGTAGTGGCGGGCCTTGTCTCGGTTCTGGGCCCGTGTTGCTCTAACTTCCGTACCCACTAAGGGGGACAATTGCACCCGAGGGACACTATTGGTGCTCTGTTGAAAGGGGGACACCCCCGTACTACCGTGTGGGGTAGCCCGATAAACGGCCAATATGTGATCCACAATGACCGGCCAGGGTCGGGTATCTCCCGCAGTGATATTCCGTCTAAGGGCCGTCTTAATCAGTCGGTTGGCATTCTCTACCAGGCCATTGGCTTGAGGCCAATGCCCCGGCGAGTAGATAATCTTAACGTCCACCCTGACTAGGTGACGTTCTACTTCGCCTTGAAATTCCGACCCATTGTCCATGTGTATTTCTTCTACGTCTAAATGCATGCACAAAAATCGATTTACGTACCAGGCTACTTCCTGCGAATTCCGGCTGGTCATAGGGTACGCCTCGATCCATTTTGAAAAATGATCGACGGCCACTAAAAGAACATTGAGTTCTCCCTGATCGACAGGCCCTCTCGGAACGTTGATGTCCGTCGTATCGATGCTAACCCTCTGAAAGGGGCACTCTACACGAGTGGGCACCATCGTCCGAGGCATCTGTACAGGCGCCTTGTCCGCCGCGCAGGCCGGGCAATTCTGAACGATGTATTTCACATCGTCACGAATTCCCGACCAGTACCATCCGTTCTTTTCGATGGCTTTTTTCGTGTACTTGACCGCTAAATGGACCGCATCCTCCTCATGAGCAGCTCGTGTCCAATCGAACCTAGCAAGAGGGTGTGGAACCGTCAACCAGCTAGACTCTCTGTCGTCATCGACCTTCCGTTTTTGTAATGTCGGGCCCTGCCAGCGATAGTCTTGCGCCCGCTCCATGACTCTCCGCCGTTCGGCTTTGGTAAGTTCTGACAGCGAGTCGCCTGACAGTCTTCGTAGCAACAGAAGGTCCGTCCAGGCCTCTGCCCGGCGGGCACTCGGCGCAAATCCGTCAGTTGTTCTAACGTCCAAATACCGCTTCTCGGTAGGGACTTGGTCCGTTCTATAGTTGGGACAGACCCATGTCTTTTCACATCGGTACCTAACGCACTGTCCGTGAGACGTGACCGTATGACACTGACTACACTGTACCCATAAAAGAAAACTGGGCCCTCCCGGATGCGACCCTTCTTGGTCCGGGATCATAGGTGAGGTACAGAAGAAACATGGACTTAGGTGCTTTTCAGAAGACGAGTTGGGGCTAGACGAGAGAGCGAGGGAGTGGGATGAGGGCTGGGAGATAGTGTCGGCCATCTCCGATGAACCTCCATTCCGGACTCAGGCGTCGTCCTTACGCAGCACGTATAGCTCCTTGTAGTGTGGTTTCATCGCCGCGACTTCTGGCCTCCACGGAATGAGTCGCTCGTTGGCGGGACACTTGTTGGGCGGCAGGAGGCACGTTAATCCATCAGCGTTACCATGCTGCCGCGTGGCGCGATGGCGGATGTCGAAGTCATAGTCTTGCAAACGCACCGCCCACCTGCCCAGCGTCCCCGTGTAGTCCGTGTTGTTGCGTAGGGACAGCAGCGGCTGATGATCCGTCACCAGCACGAATTTCTGGCCGTATAGATACGGTCGGAAGTGCTGAATCCCCCACACCACCGCCAGACATTCACCTTTGCATGCTTCGTAATTAGYCTGCGCCTGGCTCAGCGTCTTGGACGCATACTCAATGACGTGCTCCCTTCCGTCGTTCCCGTGCTGAGTCAACACCGCCGATATCGACTGAGGCTGTCAGTCCGTGTACAGTGCGAACGGTCTTGTCGGGTCGGGACGCGCTAACACAGGAGCAAATGTCAGAGCCTCCTTCAATGCCTAAAACGCCGCCTCGCATTCCGGCGTCCAGATCAGCCGTTCCTCTTTCTTCAGCAGGTTCGTGAGGGGCTTCGCTATACCGGCGAACCCCTTGATGAAGCGTCGGTAATAGGATGCCAGCCCCAGAAAAGCCCGAACCTGGGTGAGTGTGACCGACGCCGGGGCGTCTTGAACTGCTGCCACCTTCCTTGGATCCGGTTTTAGCCCGTCAACCATGACGATATATCCCAAGAATGAAATCTCCGACAAGAAGAACTCGCTTTTCTCCAAGGCCACTTTGAACTCGGCATCTTTCAGTGCATGCAAAACCCACTCGATGTGTTCCACGTGGTATTCGTGTGTTTTCGAAAAGACCAAAATATCATCCATATACACAATCACCAGAAATTGATAAGGGGCTGGGTTAGTCGGGTTTTGTTAACGAACTCAACGAAGGCCATATTCATGGCCCGCTGAAACGTTGTCGGGGCGTTGCAAATTCCCATGGGACACCGGACCCATTGCCACGTGCCCTCGAATAGGACAAAAGCAGTTTTGGGTCGGTCCTCCAGTCGGACTGCGACGTGGTGAAAATCGTGTCGGATATCGAACTTGGAAAAGACTCGAGCGGCCCCGATGGCATCTAACAAATCATCGATTCGCAGCAAGGGATACACATCTTTGGTAGTAATGGCGTTCAATTTTCGGTAGTCGATACATACCCGGACCGAACCATTTCGTTTTGGCATAAGGACCACGGGAAAAGACCACGGTCCTAGCGATGGTTTGACCCACCCCAACCGCTCGAATTCCCGTACCCTTTCCAAGGCCAGCTGTCTTTCTTCAAGGGAATATCGGTACGGTCGGCAGTGTATCGGGACGTGTTCCCCGGTATCAATCGCATGTTGTATCAAAGGGGTTAGCCCTATGTCGTGGTCCTGAATACTGACGGCCTCAAGGTAGGCCCGTATAACCGCCAGGAGGAGGCGTCTGTATTCATCTGGAACACGGGTTGGTAACTGAACTTCCACGGTTCCCCCAGGAAGGGAGACCGTCGTCGTAACCGTGGGGACCGCCGCGCTGGCATGGGGCGAGGCCCCAAACAAGGAGTTGTCGGTTTTCGCCGAAAGGACAGTCGCAATGAGTTGATTGCCCGCCGGACTCATCGGCTCGCTTTCCATGTCACTATCACCGTCCAACTCGGGTTCGGCCGAGGGCTCTACCAAAAAGGCCTGCGCTAGTTCCCTTGGTCCCCATCGATATTCCCTGGTCCGGGGTTGAAATGACACCCCTTCTTTCAAGAGTATCGCGGTTTTTTCATTCGTGAGTAGGGGCCGTGGCGGACGAAAAGATAAATTGCACAGCCCCCTTAGCTCGGTAAATCTTTCAGGTAGGGGGTCCGTTCTGAGGTATAAGGACGCAGGGGGTTCCGAAAAGTCAGCTATCCGGGACACCCTCAGCAGGGGTTCCCCCTGCACCACGTAGGAGAACGCATGCGACCAATTGGACCCGCCCCGAACTATTTCTAGTGGTTCTCGCCGCCAAGAATGGCGCCACCGATTCTGAACTCGGATCGGATATCGGTCGGGTACCTCAGTCTCGTCGGTTTCCGTCGAGGGTTCGTTTTCGCTTGGTGACAAGCGTCGGATCATGTTGATTTGATGGGCTTTCGAGGTGAGGCGAGGCGCCGGCTGGGTGCGCATGCGCACCGCCAGCCTCATTGGTATCGTTTGGGGTTTGGGGTGGGCCGATGTTAGCATCACCTTACAGCTGTCAAAGTGCATTTGCGCTCCGACCGCGGCCTGCCACGGAATGCTTAGCAGAACATCATACGCCTGTACATCCAGCACGATCACGTCACACAAACAATGTACCCGCCCCACCCGTATGGGCACGTTCGTTATTCGCCCTTTACAATGAATACTATCTTCCGTAGAGGATATATACAGTTCATCCAGTCGGAGGGGCTGAACCTGTCCTTCCCTTCCCAACTGTTTCGTTAATCTCTAAGAAGTGGCGACCGCCGATGATCCCGAGTCTAGGATGGCGACCGAGGGGTTTCCCCAGACCTCACAATCACACTCTACGCTTTTCCAGGTTATAGGATAGGCCCGGAGGAATACCTCGGGTTTTTCCAAGGCGGAATCTATGGTCTGGATCATCCCTATCCGGTTGGCTTCATGCACCTCTGAGGTTGAGGGCTGTGGTTCCTCGTTGGCGGGTGGGTCCCGTAGGACCGGCTTTTTGCCCTTTCGACTTTCCTCGAATCGGCGCCTGTTTTTGAGGCACCGTTCGATCAACTTTTCGTTAGCCGCTTCAGAAAGGGTTAGCAGATATGGAATAGGGACGGGGATCCGAAGATCCAGAGCCTTCAAGGCATCCAATACGTCGATATGGCCATCCTTGTATTCAAGACCAGGTACCGCATGATCTTCGAACCCTAGTCGCCACGGCCCGAGGTCACTTTCCTCGGTAATCCGTTGGACGTGACGTATCACTCCGATGGTCTCGGGTTCGAACATCACTGCTGCCATATACTCATCGGGTCCTATCTTAGTGGCCCCAGGGGTCACCATCTCCGTCATTCCTGTATCCATTACCGTGGCTACCCTCCCCTGTCCTGCAGCGGTGGGAGCAGCCAGTGGGATTTGGGAAGGCCCGGTAGGACCGCCTTGAGTTCGGGGTTTCGGAAAATCTTTCGCAAGATGGCCTAGCTGATTACAATTATAACAGCGTAGGGGTGGGACAGCCCCGGCCACGGCCGGTCTTATCATAGGGGCTCCGACAGCCATAGCCGCCTGTTGCCATTGTGCGGCGGCTATGCGTTGCCGTTGTAGACCGTGAACAAACTCTGTCAACGGGGCTACTACCATAACTAATTGGGCCGCGACCTCTTTCATGAATACTTCTTCCTCGCCCCGGCCTCCTTGCGTTTGACTACGGCGACGGGATGTCGAAGCAGAGGAGGAAGCTTTCCGATCCGAGCCTTTTTTTGTTGGACCCAACCCGAAGCGATCTTCGAACATACGTGCCGTAGCGGAGTAGCTATTGCGCCGAACACCCGAAGGGTCATCTTCATCGGATTCCGAGTCCAGACCCACATCGTAATTTTCCTTCCTGTACTTAATTGCGTACTGAATTAGCTCCGTCAGGGTATGTTCTATAGGGTTGCATTTCTTGCGGATCTTTTTCCGCAGACGAGAATCTGACAGTCCTCTGACGAAATCAGTCCGTACCATCTTCTCATCCACCCAGGAGCGCTCGGCTAGGTACGTAAAACGTTCAGCATATCTAGCCAAGGTCTCCCGAGGCTGCTGTGTGTATTCCTTTATTAAACGGAGGCATTGACCTGGTGCGATGTGATCAAATCTATCGAGAAATTTCCTCTGGAAGGCTGCCCAATTAGTGAAAGGGTTTTGTCCGTACCACTCAAAAGCGGTTCCGGCTAACCTTCCGGGGATTCGTTCTCGGAGCAACTGGTCCGACCAGCCCTGGGCTTTCAAGGCCGCCAGCCAGGTGCGAGGATCGGTGTCATCCTCAGAAAAAATGGGAACTTCGGAGGGAGGAGGTACAAAGTACAGGGGATGATTGGCCATCCCCGCATGGTTGTCGTTGTCATTTGCCCCCACGATTCCGGGTTCCACCATCGCGGTAGGCGGGTTTCGAGCCCGGCCCCTCGCTCGGTTCGGATTTCTATTCGCGGGCCTCCGTCGACGGGAGCCAGCCTACTCAAAAAAAAATTGGGAATTCCAGTAAAAAGATCAAAAAGGAAAATGGAAAAACTTGAAAACAGGGCAATCATCCTAGGAAAACCTCGGAACCGAAAACAAATCATCTCGGATACCAACCTCACACCCCCTTGAGGCTTCCCGTACAGGGTCGCCGATCAGAGTTCTAGGAGGGGCGTGGCCGAGGATTTTTGGTCGTAAGGGTTGAGTCTCTCGGACGGAACGGGAGACTCTCATTTCGTGGCCGAGGTTCTTTTCGGAGTCGAACTGTCGCCGCGGAGTTGTGTGGGGGCCGAATCACTCCGAAACGATAAAATCAAATAGGTTTCTGCAAAAATGAACTGCCGCCGTGCATCAGAACGAAAAAATGCATCAAGGGGAGAGGGTCATGGCGGCGGAAGACAAACTTCGATCGTCAGGGGTTTGGGGGATAGGTGGTGGGTTCGAAACCCTCGGGCCTCATCATCAACTTCACAAAGTGTCTGAACCCTCGGGTCTTTGTTGTGGAGGTGGGTGGTTCGAGGCCTTCAGGCCTCGGCGTTGGACTCACAGAGTCCGCGCGAAAGTTTCCGGAAGGGTAAAGAGGCGAGAGGACTCGTCGGTATCTGAATTCGAAATTGCGCAGGCAGCGCCCCCGCACTACGGGAAAGTTCGGCGAAACGTGTCGCTCCCTCGTAACCCAGGACCAGTCGTTGCCACGAGCACGAGTCCCCCTGGCGACACCAGCGACAATCAAATTGCGGTCGCCACGCGTCGTGAGCTGCCAACCAGGGCAACACCGTTAAACCCGTGGAATCAAAACGATCAATCAACACAAACCCATTCCCCCTTATCCCACAGGCCCGCAGCGGGTCTTGCCAACACACTTGCTCCGTCCGCCTCAGCGCGCGCCGTACATCCGCATCGCAGTAGACGCTGTCGTCATCTGTGATGGGGAAGGTCGGGAGCCAGATGAGACGATCGGAGGTACGTGATGAACACAGGCAAGATCCCGCGTTCCCAGTCATCCGAACCAACACGGAATCCATACAGCAATCGTCGCAAACTTTTTTTTTTTCTCTCAAAAGTGAGTGCGTAGGGAAAGGGAGATGACGAAATCTAAGCTTTCTCCTCTTGGCGGGGGCGTCGACCATCCGCGCGGACGCAGGAGGTTGACGTCACCGGTACGGGGATGATAAGCTCAAAAAGCGATGACTGCCAGTTGCAAGGAAGGGGATCGGGGAAGGGAAGAAGGGAGAGAAAGATAGTGAGAGAGTGAATTACGCCGAGACCGTGCGAGAGCGTAGGAAAAACCGCGGAGGGGAGGGGAACAACCGGAGCAACACACTCATACTCCTAAGCAGACGGTTTCCCAGTTGAGTTTCCCCATCCCCGCCCGGACGAGTGCATATACACATACATGCATGCAATCAATAACACTCGACATGACATCTAATCATCCATGGACCTTCGACGTCACTCATGCGCAGAACAAGCTCCCATCACTCGGGGCTTCACACACACACGACATGCATAAACAAAGCAGCAATGGAGATAAAAGCCAGTCCCTCTTGTAGACACAAAAATTTCAATTGACTGTCGTCCCCAGACGCAGCCTTCAAAAACTTCCCAAGACCACCGACCACCATAGCCACAAGGCCCTGCSGCGGCCGGCGTCCAATCCCCACCACTGCTTGGTCCCTCCAACTGCCTAGCCCCGAGACTACCGCGGGGCCCACCCCACRTCGTCACTCCGCCCGTCCTTGGGCTCGTCGAGCCTGTTCGGCGCCGCGGACTCTCGCGCATAGCTCGCGCAGCATTGCAGCCGAGATCAAAGAGAGGGAGAGAAGAGGGTTGCGCAAATTTATAGCGCGAGAGACGGCGGGTTAACGGTGCGAGGTGCGGGCAGCGCAGGGTGCAGAGGAGAAGGACTGGAGAGAGAGGTGGGGAGTTAGAGGGTTCGACCCGCGGGATTGCATGGCTACGTGATTGGGGTGTTCGTTCAAGTGGTGCG